GGAAAGAAGGCAGTTTCCAGCTTCTAGGGCCTGCTGGGAGGAAGTTTCCGACATAAATGCTGAAAAGAGAGGTGAGGAAGGGCCTATAGCCATGCTGTAAGGAATAGGAAGTTTCCTGCGGCAGGTGACTTTAGTGTTTGTAGTGTTTGTTTGAAGAATATGATGCCATGTTGATTTTCAGAATTCAGCAGAATTGTTTTATTGATATGAAAAGGGTGTATAAATTGTCTTACTTGAATCAAGAAAAAGAAAATAACATGCAAGGAAATATATAACACATATATCTCCAATTAATCAAATCATAATAATTACTTTGAGGTAAAGAAAACAACATGAAATAGGAAAACCTAAAATTGAAAAAGAATAAATCGAATACAAGAAAATAAATCTAAAATAGGAAAGGAAAAAAATCCAATATGAGAAAATAAATCTAAGCCACATAACTTCTGACTAGAATAAATTATTTTTTAATATAACTTCATGTATGTGTGTGTGTAAATATATTAGTTGGCAATGACACTCAGCTTATCAATTTATTAGCTGACTCTATTCCTAGAACTAGGGGCAAAGGCAAAGCAAAATTGAGTCGCTTTCTAGCTACCTGATACTACGTATTTTTGTTTTTTTTCTCTTTAGGTCTCTAATTTTCTGTATTTTCTCTCTTTTTGAAACATTTTGTATGTGGTGGTTATTATGGGGGAAGGGTGTCATGCTGGAACCCTTCCACACAATCTATATCCTCATTTCTTTTTAATATATTAGCCTTTGGGCTTTCTAAAAAAACAATATATATATATATATATATATAAATGAATTGGGGAAAGAGCAACGGTGGCTCCCTACGCGTTAACTTAAAGAAAAGGTACAAAAATTGGAGGGGAGGAGAATCCCCGTCTATAAAAGAAAAAAAAATACATTTGCAGCACACCCCTAGGGGTTCCTCTCCCCGCAGTACAACGCACACTAAAAGAAATATCCTAAAATACATACAGGTATACCCAAAACGAAAGAACAAAAACCCAAAAATAAGTAAACCTGTACTCCTGTATTACTAAACATGTAAAAAGAAAAAGGATGTACAAAAAATGTCTTCAGTCGAGTAATAATTCTTCAAAAGCACTCCCACGAGCAAACAAAAGAACTTTGACAATTTGGAGCGTAGACCAAAGAGATCCAAAAACAGTAGCATCCAACAGAAGTCATGAGAACAGAAACAGAGCAGAAAACAGAAACCAAACGCAGAGAGACACAACCAGGCTTGCTGCAAAACCAAAGAAACCTTCCAAGCAAACTAGGAGACCCGCAAGAGAAATACAAAAAACAGTCCCTCAATGGTAAAGCCAAGAAGCACAAAATCTAAAAACGAACATATGACAGATTCAAATTATCCCCATTTAGGAGACGTCTAAGAGGAGTAGGAGGATGAATGCCAACGTAACAAACCTCCCCTGCGTGTTTGGCTAACCAATCAGCATGGTACTTGCCCTCTCTATAAATGAATTTCCAATTTATATCTAATTGCCTTTCAGCCATTAAGGCTAAAATACGTTTAAAAGTGCAAACTATATCCCAGTAGGGAGGTGAGATACCCAAAAGAATATCATAGAGCATTTTAGAATCAAGAATATCCCAAAAGAATATCATAGAGCATTTTAGAATCGGTTTCCACCTCAATTTTATGAAAATTTAAAACACTAGCCACCATTAATGCTAGAAAAAACCCCAGCATTCCGTAGCTAAAGGATTGTCATCGACAACGGGAGAAATGAAAGAACAGAAACACCTACCCTCATAAG